GGGTTGAATTTTTTTAGCGCATATTTGTTTCAAGAGTGTCAGGAAAAATTTTCAAGTGCAATTAATGAAGTTAACATTGATTTACTGTCAAAAAAGTCGCATTTTTTCACAAAAAACGCGCGCGCGCACGCACTTTTGCTCAGATTCCTTCAAAACCAAAAAATGCACGTAATATACATAATTCTGAGTTTGCATGCAAAAAATCAGCCTCCTACGACAATTCTAAGTTATGTTTAACCACTGTTTAAATTTTCCGGAGAGTAATACGTTTTGTGCCCCCCCCCTTTTCAAATGTGTACTGTAAAGTGTAAACAAACAAAATTGTGGCATACACCTTTGAGTACTAGTCAAAGGTAAGGATATTTTTTATTTTATGATTTTCTTTATAATGCAGGATCTTGGAACAGAAGTTGGCGCTCGTAATGAAAGACACCTAGCGGCAGTTTTCTACAACAAAACTCCTGGATTTGAGATTATTCATGGTCTTCTTGATAGGATCATGCAACTGCTTGAGGTAATAAAACATTACAAAGTTTAGTTATGATTTTTGTCGTATCAGTTGTGCCAATCCATTTAATTAATGTTTGATTATAATTATTATTAACTCTCTTGAGTCTTGATAAATCTATCAAGATCGAATTAAAATTAATACTATATTTAGGTTCCTATGTCCCTGGATAAATCTAGCTCTGGTTACTATCTAAGATCTAATGAAGATGCATCCTATATTTAGGTTCCTCTGTCCCTGTATAAATCTAGCTCTGGTTACAATCTAAGATCTAATGAAGATGAATCCTATATTTAGGTTCCTCTGTCCCTGGATAAATCTAGCTCTGGTTACTATCTAAGATCTAATGAAGATGATTCCTATATTTAGGTTCCTATGTCCCTGTATAAATCTAGCTCTGGTTACAATCTAAGATCTAATGAAGATGAATCCTATATTTAGGTTCCTATGTCCCTGGATAAATCTAGCTCTGGTTACTATCTAAGATCAAGTGAGGATGAATCCTATTTCCCTGGCAGAGCAGCAGAGATTGTAGCTTTTGGACAGGTGGGACGCCCTGTACAGTGTAAAATTTAATTTATATTGTATTAAGTGTAAATTAGTTTTATTTAAAAGAAAAGAAAAAGTGCATTAAAAGGGAGTGACCGGCTATGTAAGGTAGTTGAACTGAGTATGCTGTGTTGTGGAAAACTTCTTTCGGATTCATTTGAGACTTATAAAACTTTTTAAAGATCTGTAAATCCTGAGTTTGAGCGCAAATTCGACGCTCAAAACTTCTACTTTGGGGGTGGATACGTTTTCAGAATTAGCTTCTTTTTAATTTTAAAATAACGGCGACGAAAAATAAAGTACAAATTGTACAAATTGTACAGTAATCTAATTTAGATGGTTAGGAGCACATTTCTCAAAAGGAATTTGTCAGTAAATCAGTGTTAGAATCAATTATTTCGTTTTCATCATTATATTGAATTTATTATTTTCTTTGAATTTATTTGCAGATTTCTTCAAATTCTTCAAATGTCGATTTTTTAATAATATTCCAGAAAATACTTGTGAATAATGAGAAATAGAAACTAAGAATTGAACAAGATTACTTACTTTCGATGATAAGATAAGATAACTAAAAAACTAATTCTGAAAGCGTATCTAACCCCAAAGTAGGAGTCTTGAACGTCGAATTTGCGCTCAAACTCAGAATTTACAGATCTTAAAAAGTTTAATATATAATTCAAATGAATCCGAAAGAAGTTTTCCACAACACAGCATACTCAGTTTAACTACCTTACATAGCCCGTCGCTCCCTTTAAATAAACAATTTCTACAAACGAGCTCTGAAAAGTTAACAGTTTTAGATTTTCAGTTGCAATAATTTTAATTTACAAAATCTTTACCGACAGTTCTCAAGTAAAAGGAAGAACAAAGTTGACGTTCAATCCTAAATATTCTGATTCTCGTGATACCAGGCATAAAACTTATAGTCGTAACATTTCTAAGTGATCCTCCAGTCAAAGATTGACAGTACCCTGTAAACCGGTTTAACTGATCAACAATATGGTTCATATTCTTCATTCAAACAAAACCATCAAGTTCAGTCTCCAATTTCGTTTTGCAGTTAATGATATTTTCAGTTTTCACGTTTACATTTTGATGAAACCCCTTGATAATATATTTTAACCCTAGGTGATAGGACGGTTGGGTGTTCTCCACCCTGAGGTTGTTACTGGGTTCGAACTCAACCTACCCTGCTCAGCGCTAGAGATCAATATCGAACCTTTCCTTTGAAAAAATCAAAAATAAATTTTTTGAAATCCTTAGTTTTGAAACTTATTTTTGTTAGTGTGTCCGTTTTTATGTAAAAGCTGTAAGATGAAATCTTTTACCATTCTTTTCTAAAGTTTTAACTAGTGTCAACTTTTTTTTTAAGAGTTGTGGAGGTGCCGGGTATCGAACACACATTTAAATAGACTCGAATAGAGGGGTACAAAATATACTCGAATAGAGGGGTACAAAATAGACTCGAATAGAGGGGTACAAAATATACTCGAATAGAGGGGTACAAAATAGACTCGAATAGAGGGGTACAAAATATACTCGAATAGAGGGGTACAAAATATACTCGAATAGAGAGGTACAAAATAGACTCGAATAGAGGGCTACAAAATAGACTCGAATAGAGGGGTACTTGCATTGTATGATTCCTTCTTTTATAAATTCCTCCACAGAGCGGCTGCAAAACTTGAGGTTTATTTGGTACAAATGTTTTTACGTGGATAAAATATAAGTTTTTGGTTAAATTATAAAAATCAAATCATGATTTCTCTCCAGATATTAAAAATGTATGCTCAATGCTCATGTCAGGAATCTGAAGTCACACTCCTGAACTTGGTTGAGACAAAATATGCTTGACAAAAAAAGAAAAACATTTATTTGAGATTTCCTAATGTAAGTTTCTTAATTTGCTTTTTATTCAAAAACTTGATGAACCTTTTAGAAATAAGAAAATTTTGACAGCTTAACTTTTTTTACAATTTAGATTTGGGTTTTGAGAGAAAAAAAATTTTTCCCAGTATTTTGACCCGCATATTTTTGCGGATCCGGATCCAGGAAGCTAAAATGTTGCGGATCCAACGGATCCGCCGGATCCTAAGCACTGGCAGGATTGTTCAGAAACTGTCCTACATTTTGTTTTCAGAATTTTTCTAAATCATTAAAAAAATTATTCTCTCAAGTCAGAATGCTGAATGCTATGTTATAAATTTTGTAAATTATATTCAAATGGTTTTACAACTAACATTTTTTAACAAAGATACTTTCATAAAACATTGCAGTCGAAAAAAGAAAAAAGAGAAAATTAGTCATAATCTAAGCATGATGCAAGTTTTAATTAGTAGAAAATCGAGAAACCATAGGATGGAAAATAACAAATGGACACAATATAAAAAGAGATAATAGTTGAACTGCTAATATTTAAAATAAAACTCTTTTCTGTTGGTTAAAGTTTAAGAGAATTGGTTCAATTTAGCCTTGTATTGTTATTCAGTAAATTTGATCCCAGAACCCTGATAAATTTTTCCATAAAAACCATAGATAAATAAATAAACATAGATAGCTTATGTAAGCAAAATCACAAAGAGTTGTACAGTCCGCGAACTCGTACTTCTAGGGGTCAAAGTGTACTTCAATGATAAGCGGGGTGGTTTGGTGTTTTAATTTAACTATTTGAACAACAATATTTCACTGAGCAATATATCATATTGACGAGAACTGAAGGACATGAGAAGGACTAAACTAACTTAAATTTCTCTCTACAGAATTCATGTACACCACAAGTACTCAATGACATAAGAACAGCCAATGTTCACAACCGACCTAGTTAATCTATTTAATAGGAATATCTTAAAACATCTCTGTACATTTATATCTTTCAAGAAGAAAAAATGTCGTCTTATGCCTATCTTTATCTATGAATGCGTCATTATTAGACGGAAGGACTTTCTAAAACCAACGGTTTAGGATAGTATAGCGCCCCAATCACATAATTCTGTACATTATAAAACCAACGGTTTAGGATAGTATAGCGCCCCAATCACATAATTCTGTACATTATAAAACCAACGGTTTAGGATAGTATAGCGCCCCAATCACATAATTCTGTACATTATAAAAGATGGGGTTACCCAGAAAAGGTTATGAGACATCAATGACGACCTTTATTTTTATGATCTAAAGGTTTAATGAGCCCTCTGAAACATAATAATTTTTATGCAAAAGCTGGAGACAGCATGTAAAGCTGGATCGAATTTGAGTAGAGAACCAAGAATTTAAGTAAAATACAGCCTCTACATCTCAAAAATCTTATCCTTTGTCGGTAGTCCTGTAGTTCGGAACCGTCGTCTTTAATTCCCCCTTCCCTCGATCCTTTATTTTAAAGTTCTTCTTCACCCCCTTCCCATATTTGAAAGTTCCTCTTAACTTACCCCCCCCTTCCTTTATTTTTAAAANCCCCCCCCCCCTCCTTTATCTCACGGTTCTAAAATATAATTCTCATATTGTGTATATATTGTATAAACTATATATTGTTGTGTTCAACCAACCACTTATTCATTTCTTCCGAATTCCTTCAGTTCCTTATTTAATTGAACAGTTACCACCAGGAAACATGAGATCCGTCTTTTTTCTTCTTCTTAATTGTTCGTCTTTATTTTTTTAATTGACATAAGCGCTTAGCACTAGGGTAATTGTCTCAAATTTTGACTTCAATCCTAACCCATTTAAACTTTTGAATACATTGTTATGTGATTAGAAACTCTTGTATTGTAGATATTGAGATTAATGCTTTATCTCCTCGATTGTAAATCTAAATATAAATTTATTCTGCAGATTAATATCCAGAAAATGTCTAAAATTCAACCAATCAGAGTGTCGCTTGGAAAAAACCAAACCGCCAATCAAAAGCGCACACATTCAGTGAGAAATTTAGTTTTTTATGTTCCTCATGTTTGCACTTACTGTATGTTTAATTCACTGAAATTTTGTCTTATATGTTCCTCATGTTTCTTTGAACCAAATGCAGTATTGTTAGCCACAAGAAAGTTGTTTCTCGAAAATAACAGAATGAACTACACTTCCAGTGATCAATAATAAATGAAAATCTCTTTATTTCCTGAAAAAGTGCATTTAATTATAATGGGTATACATAATGAAAATAGTAATTGTAATGAAGAAAAATCCTTACGATCTAGAACAGGAAATGCGGGTACAAATTAGGGTACAAACAGTACTATAAACGTTTTTTTTAACTTCTGAAATAAAAATGACAATTTTTTATCAATGTAAATCACTATTTTATGAATATTGTTCTTTTGTTTAACCTTTGAAAAATAGAAGCACTGCATGTGACCTTGTTGATTTTGTCGAGATAAGAAAAGGGACCTTGCAAATGTTTGGTTTGGTTGTTCTCCGAGAGGAGTTTTGAGTTAAAGACGACTTACAACGGAGTATTGAATGTTTAGGGTCAACAAGTATGTTTAATTCACTGAAATTTTGTATTATATGTTCCTCATGTTTCTTTGAACCTACTGTATGTTTAATTCACTGAAATTTTGTTTTATATGTTCCTCATGTTTCTTTGAACCTACTGTATGTTTAATTCACTGAAATTTTGTTTTATATGTNTAAAGTGTTTCAGGAGAAAATATTTAAAACCCTCTAAAAGAAGAGGTTGTGGGAATATTCTCCTTATTCTAAAAAAAAGAATAAAAATAGAAATAAAAGGAAAAAATAAGGAAAATTATATATTTTTTGTTTATACTATATTTAATATATATATTTATTGTAATATTTAAAAAAAAGTTTTAAAAAGTATATAGTACTATATTTGAAATAAATTTGTGGTGGATTGTTAGTATTTTTCGACGAGGAACAATTCTTTTAGAAATAAAAATGATAGCTTTATTGTAATGTTTAAAAAAAAGTTTAAAAATGCTTTATTGAGTGTGAATGAGATATAGGTTCTATGAAAAATGGGTATTTAAAAAACGGGTATTAAAGTAGACTTTTTAATATAAATTGTTTGAATATCATTAAAATAATTCATAATGTTGAGATTTTTTGAAGGTCAACCTAAGAATCAGGAGGCTCCGGAGGTTATTTTGCGGGGCTCATGGTGGCTATCCACCCCTCCCTAGTTTGATGCAGCTGGTTAATTACCAAATTGTTCATCAATTAACGGTTCACTCTATTCTATATACGCTATATATCATATTTGATCATTAATAGCTCTATATTTAGATTTAATGGACAAATCAGAAAATGAAAAAAATAATCACTTGAAAAATGGATAATGAAAGTACAAAAAATGTTTTTTGAGTATTTAGTGCGTATTTTGGCGTTAAGGCTTCTGCTAAGAGATAATCCAATATATGGGACGCTCTGTATTTCACACCGTCGCATTGCCTCATATGATATTTAGATATTATTGCTTTAATTAGAACCTTCATAACTAAATAAGTTTACAGTTCTATCTTACAACACTACACGTACACAATGCAGCCAAGTCATACAGATTTCCGTTCTGTGGTCTGATTTTATTCGACCAGAGATAAAACATATTTCGTTTAGATCTTAAGCTTTTTTTTAGATATCGAAAAAGTTCATGTTGGACAGGATCTTTTAATGATTAAACAATTGTCATAATTTCTAATCCTCGGTATCTTTGCAACACAATGCCAGAGAACTTATATATTTCAAACTTAGAACGCGGTTAGATCAAATAATTTAAGTTTAAAATATCTAAAGTTTACATATCATCAGGTTGAAAAGATATAGGGATTAAAAATGATTCCTTTGTAGCATATATATATATAAAGTTGTAATCTCTGTTTGTTTGTCCGATCATACTGTGGAATCCATTGACTGATTTGTCTCAAAGTTAATTGGGATATTAGGGAGAACCACGGGAATGTGTTTAGCCTGGTTTTAAGATTAAAAGAAGAGTAGGTCCACTTTTATTACAAAAATTTGGTTTCCTGGTAACATCGACCAATTGCGGGTGTGTAGAATTTAATCATAATAAGTCTGATTACAGATTGTAATCTTTCAGATATAGATTTCCATGGTTATTCAACAGATTGCAATCTTACAGATATATATATCTGGTTATTCAGCAGATTGTAATCTTACCGATCTAGATATCTGGTTATTTAACAGATTGTAATCTTACAAATATATATATCTGGTTATTCAGCAGATTGTAATCTTACAGATATAGATTCTGGTTATTCAGTAAATTGTAATCTTACAGATATAGATTCTGGTTATTCAGCAGATTGTAATCTTACCGATCTAGATATCTGGTTATTCAACAGATTGTGATCTTAAAGATATAGATATCTGGTTATTCCGCAGATTGTAATCTTACAAATATAGATATCTGGTTATTCAGCAGATTGTAATCTTACAGATATAAATATCTGGTTATTCAGCAGATTGTAATCTTACAGATATAGATTTCTGGTTATTGAACAGATGTTGATGTAAAGACAAGAATATAAAATGTATTTCTTCCTTCCCGTCCTAGTTTACACAGCCATAGCAGGTGAACCAATTCTATGATTAGAAATCTTATATTTTTGAGAGTTTAACGGCGAACGAAACGTTTCGTGAAATAAATGCGAAATTTCGCGAAAAATACTTTAGCATTTGTTCTTCAAAATTCCGTATGTTTCGCGAAATTTTCGTGTTTTTTCGCATAATTTCCGTTTTTTTTCGCGCAATTTTCGAATTATGTTTTCGCATTTTGTTCTTAGTTCATCATAAACAAATAAAACGTAAAAATATCATATATTTCCTTGTTTTTATACAGTGAAACCCTTAATAACGAATACATCGAAAGAATTCATCAAATGTCGTATTCTTCACTTTCTGATAATGGAATGTTGCAGATGTTTAGTTTTTTAATTGAATTATTATATGGAACTCTTTAAAACTGTTCCCGCATATTCATGGCTATTTATTTATTTTCGGAAATACTGAAATTTACGTAATATAGTATAAAACTCATTGAAAAATTGTCAAGACGACATTTAATGAATTCTTCCGATGTGTTTGTTATTAAGGGTTTCACTGTACAAAATGTCAGTCTTACAATCCCTTTTTGCCTTATGCATGTTTACTTTACAATAATATAAAGCTTGCTCAAGGCCATGGATTTTCGTTGTAGACCTTGATCCTCCAAAAAATGCGTATTTAAAACTTTCTTTCTTCAGGATCCTACGGTAAATCATCTTTCCTGAAGGTTGGATTGATTGAGGAGCATTTAGACGAAACAAACCTTTCAGAGACTTTAATGCCGGGTGGAGAATCAAGAAGCAGGGAATATTTTCAATCAATAAATCAATAAATTACTCAATTAATTCATTAATGCGAAGTTCATATGTTCATTAATGAAAACATATTTTGATTCCGGATTTAAAATGCGATATGTTGGCTTCACACGGTTAATAAAGGTTTTTACTTATAATTTCACAAAATCGAAAATCTTCTTGAATCCTCGCGCCGGATTTTCTCGTTTTTAGAATATTAAATGATAAAAAAATAGTGTTTTATATTTCCTTGTTAAAATATCTTTTCAAGGGCGATTATTTTATCTTTAAGTTGCAATTGATCAATGAATAATTGAATGTTCACAGATTTTTAGATTAAAATTTGTCAATTTTTAGTTTTATTTACTTTTCCTGATGACCTGACACCTGGATAATGAGGACATCCAATATTTTTTATTTGAAAGGATGACAACATTAAAAATTGATATATATGTATTTCATATTTGAAATACATTTTGTTTGAACAGTTTCAAACTATTCCTTGGTAGTATAAACTATAAATAGATTTGTTTAGAAATGTATGATAATGCATATTACAAAGCACAACATATAAATGTTTATTGTTTGAAAAATTAGATTCTTAAAAATATATTGAAATATTGTTTAAGACGGTGTACGGGAAAACTTTGCTCAACAAACTCCGAAGCTGTCCAAAGGTAGGATTTTAGAAGAGTTCGATAGAATTATTTGATCCCAATTCTGATTCATTCATTTGAGGAAAATGCGTGCATGAAAAAAATAAAAAATACCCAGCAATTACGAACGTTAAATTTTTCAATTTATGCAGAAAAAGAAAAAGAGAATTGCAACTACTAATTTTTCTCTAAAGATCACATTCTTTTTAAAAGGGTAACAAACCATTGATATTTTGGAAATTAGTAGAGGAGATTACATTTAACTAATGTGTATTTGATGTTATTATTATTATTATTATTATTATGCAAATATTGTTCCCGGTATCATAGTTTAATAACAATACAGATAGAACACAGATGTCAAGATTTAGGGGTTTTTCGTTCACAATAACCCCGAGGCAGAAGCCCAAAGGTGGTAAGCGCATGCTCTCTCTCTGTCTTGTAATTCAGCGCGTCATGCGCGTATCTCCTTTGGGCTTCTGACTCAGGGTTATCGTGAACGAAAATCCCCAAAAAAATCTTGAAACGACGATATTTAGTGTAATATCTGTATTTTTATTAATCCATGGCCCGGTAGCTTAACAAATTAACTAATTCCTAGTTAATATATACTAAACAGTTGAGCTGTGTTTCAAGTTTATTGCAATACTGTGAGAACTAGAAAACTGTTTATCAGGAAGACGACATAAAAGCAATACTAATGCGCATTTGACCAGTAACTTATAAAATCACTTATAAATGAAATGGTTCTATGTACACTGCACAAATAATGTAGCCTCATGTTCATTATATTATTTAAAGTCATAACTTGAGTCCTATTCCGGAGTTTTCTGATTCTAACGTAACTGTAGTTGAAATAATGATATCTGTACCCTTGTATTTAGTTTCTTCTCGCCAGCAGTTAAAATATCTCCAACAAGGTTTAGGTCAATAGAGGACTTCAGGAACAGTTTAAACATTTTTTAAAAGATAAATAGCTATAAAGGGAGTGCTTGCGAAAAGTGAAAGGGGTTATATTGAATTTGATATTGATCTCTATATATTTTACTCCTATCTGCTGCATCTATAAGGGGAAAATGCAGGTTGGAAACTTTCTATACATAAGAGAGTAACGTGTCCACGTAAATCCAAAAATATACATTTTTCAACTCAGATTGTAAATAATTCAATTAAAGTATCATTTGGATATTACAAGTTTACAACCCATAAATTTTGAATTCAATTCGATGCAATCGTACATAGTTGACATTTCACAACCTTTTTATAGCGTTTTTAACCATTTTCTCCGTATAGACGCAACAGATAGAAGTAAATTAGTAGCAATCAATATCGAATTCAATTCGATATCAGCCTATTCCAGGGGGATGATAGTTCTCTACCTGTTTACTCACTTACAACCGTTCACTAATATTGATATACTATAGTATAGGCCAGAATCAATGTATAACAAACAAATATGCAGTACGCTCTCGGTATAGTTTATGGCCTATACAATTAGTAAAGGATTAGCGTATATTATCACTCTTTACACTATAACCTCGTTGATTAGCGTACATCATCACTCTATATACTATAACCTCGTTGATTAGCGTACATCATCACTCTTTACACTATAACCTCGTTGATTAGCGTCCATCATCACTATATACACTATAACCTCGTTGATTAGCGTATATGATCACTTTATACACTATAACCTCGTTGATTAGCGTACATCATCACTCTATACACTATAACCTCGTTTGCCTATTACCTTTAATTTTTCCCAAACACTCCCCTTAACATTTTTCCATGCTATTCTGTTTCTAATATTCCTTTCCCTCTTACAGGGTGTCCCACGAAACATGTCAGTATGCAGGACGACTTGAATGTCGTCTTGATTTTTGATATAATGTGCTGCGTTTATTTGTCAACCTAATTTTAGAAGTAAATTACTAGATATAATAATCACAAAATTTCCCTTGTCCTGCCATTTCCAAAATGTGGTCTGCCTTTTTTGTGCTTTCAATATTGCCCGAGATATGAAGAATTTCGTTCAGATTTCGACAATTTTACTATTATTTAACAAAATTGAAATCTGAACCAAACTCTTTATATCTCCGGTAATATTGAAAGCACAAAAAACGCAGACCACTTTTTGGAAATGCCAGGGCTAGGAGAATTATGTAATAATTGTTTTAAGAATCATACATGTTAAAGTAGATAGAAGACTAAATGTCAAAAATAAATTCAAATACCAAAGACCACTTTCAAGTCGTCTTGCTATTGTCATGTTTCGTGGGACACCCTGTACCTAATTAATTATATTTTTTTTTATTCTTCACTTAGTTACTTTACTAAATTTAATATTACAGCTCAATAAGTTTTTAAATTTTAAAGAAAGTCTATTTAAAGGGGGTACCAGTACTAACTACGGACCCACAAACTTCGGACGCTATAACAAAGGTCGGACAGTACAAACGTCGGACTGAGAAAAACGTCGGACGGGTACATTTATAAGGAAAAATGTCGGACTTTTGGTTGAGTTTGAAAAAAAATATCATTGCTACATATAAAAAAATAAATTTAAAATCTCTCGCTTGTTGCGATAAAAATCTTAATAATAAAGTCTCATCCTTCGAAGGTAGCACTGTATAAAACAACAAACTCTGGTGTTTCAATTCCTAAATCTTCGCAACCCGATGTCGTTTAACCTTTAATATTTCAACCTATATTAAATCTATAAGATCAGACAATTTAAATTTGAAAGTATCAAAGGGCATTACCATTAACAGGTTGCAAAGGCATAGGGATGAGAATATTTGAGTTATTGGCAAGAACTCAGTTCTTTTTTATTAGACCAGTCTTAATAAAAAAATCTTAAAATTCAAATATTTTTTTCCTTAGTCCGACGTTTGTACTGTCCGACGTGTTTAAGTCTTAAGTTTGTACCGTTCGACGTGTTTAGGTCCGGCGTTTGTAATGGTACCTTTAAATGGTATAAGTGTAATTTCAAGTCACCCGATCCATGCGAAGATGATAACGGTATCATTGAAAGCGCTGTCAGATCAAGTATGAATTAGATATCAATGTTTTTGATCCTTTAAACGGCTTGTTTTCCTTTGCGGATTCTGTGTGAAAGTGACTTGCGCATTTCTTGCTTACAAGAAAAAATTAAAAGAAATCTCCAGAAATTTAAACACATTTCCAGTCATGAAAACGACGGTATATCTTCCACATTGTTGATCAGAGTTAGGTTTCAAGGGTACCGTTGTAAATCGGATTTTTTCATCTTTGCACAGAGGGTCACTTGAAATAACGCTAACAGTCCTTTTAAGAAATTAAAAAAAGTAAAGATCAGTATTTTTTCAAGTTAAAATTGTAGATCCAGTCGAACATCGTCTTCCACTAAAGATGGAATATCGTCTTCCACTACTAACCGAAAATCGTCTTCCACCAAAGATCGAATATCCTCTTTCACTAAAGACCGAAAATTGTCTTCCGCTAAAGATGATAAATCTGGAAAATCTCTGACTAATCCACAGGAAGGGTTACAGTCTTTATTTTAATTCTTTAACAAATAGAATTAATTAAAATGGAACTTTAACTACAGTAATAACCAGAAAACAACGGAATAGGAAGACGACATTACAGCAATACTTCCGTGCGTTTAATGTTGTTACTAAGCAACTTGTTCGACTCCATATAATCATTTAATTAAAAAACTTATCTGCAGCATTCAATTATCAGAAAGTATGGAATACGACATTTCATAAATTCTTCCGAAGTCTCTTCATACTTGAACTTAATTGTAGTACCTTATTAAATCACTTATTTAATGAAATGATCATGGACTTAATTAGTTGTAATTTGATGCTAAAAGTCATCTTCCTATTCCAGAGTTTTCTGGTCATGACTGTAGTGAGGGGCAGTTATTTCATGTTCGGCTTTTGAGTTGGCTCGACAAAAAAATACGAGGTCTAATTATTTCTTTTGTTGCATTGTGCAATAAATGGTTTAGTTCACTATTTCTTCTCAGATATTTTAGATAAAAAACAAAATTTAGATTTTTCTTATTTCTCAGGTTTTAGAGGAACCAAATAACAACGCAAATGTTAAAAAAACGAATAAAACGCTATGACCAACACTACCCTTCCCCCCCCCCCACACCTTTTGCCTCTCTTGCTGTACAACCCAAAGTCTAGGGAATAAATGAAGAAGAAGAAAATAGATCATTTGTCACAGTTCACAATAAGTTCATAGCATCTAGACAACCAAGGTATATATATATACAAGATGAAGTGACCTGAGTTGCCCGTGGAAAAAAAACCATATTTGAAAAAAATCGAAAAAATCAGATAATTTGGTCCAGCTGTTTGGCCAGCTATAGCTTAATTATAAATTAGTTTTTATACTTTAAACTTTCTACTTTGTATTTTAGGATCCCCTTGCTAAATGGCTGCTACACTCATACTGTCAATATACTTGATCAATGCTGGATTGTTTGTGATAAAACAATCCTGGCCGCCTGCTCTACAAAAATCAGATTTTAACACTAAATAGTGGTAATAATGATGTATAATTTATCAGTTCAACAAAAAAAAACAGATTATAACACGTATAACACTGTGTTAATAATGATGTATAAATTGTCAGTTTAATAAAAATCAGATTATAACAAGTATAACACTGTGTTAATAGTGATGCATAAATTGTCAGTTCAATAAAAACCAGATCATAACACATATAACACAGTGTTAATAATGATGTATAAATTGTCAGTTTAATAAAAATCAGATTATAACAAGTATAACACTGTGTTAATAATGATGTATAAATTGTCAGTTCAATAAAAATCAGATTATAACACGTATAACACTGTGTTAATAAAGATGAATAAATTGTCAGTTCAATAAAAATCAGATTATAACACGTATAACACTGTGTTAATAAAGATGTATAAATTATCAGTTCAACAAAAATCAGATTATAACACGTATAACACTGTGTTAATACTGAGGTATAAATTGTCAGTTCAATAAAATCAGATCATAACACTGTGTTAATACTGAAGTATAAATTGTCAGTTCAATAAAATCAGATTATAACATAATAATGCTGTGATAAAATAAAGATGTGTTTTTACATTTTTATTTTTAAATTAAAATTTTTTACAATATTTTTAAAATAGTTATATAATATCAGATGTATATATTTAGACTATTCTATTTTTCATGTTCTTCATTTCCCTCTTGTTCTTACATCTTTCAATCATATTTTGGCTAATTTTGAAAAAAAATGATTTTTTAGACATCTTTACAGTTTTGCCATGCTTCAAACTGTAGAACCAAGTTAAAGGGAGTGTTCGCGAAAAATGAAAGGGGGTATAGGCTTAATGCGATAAAAAAGCGCTTTTGATCGCTACTAATCTTACTTCTATATGTTGCGTCTATAAGGAGAAAATTGTTAAAATTGTATTAAGCCTATACCCCCTTTCATTTTTCGCGAACACTCCCTTTAAGGTGCCTCCTCTCCTATTTCTACAGTACACACATGTGACATGTGTCAGCAACTGAATTCAACTTGTTGATTCAGCTCCAAACACATATTTCTAATGCATATTCTGTTAGGCTGAAATAAATGGAGGGCGGGAGGGGGACGTCTTCCAAGCCTCCATCTTGAATGTTTGTCTCCATTTGCTAGCAGTTTGATGATTATTTATCTAAGTCTCAAGTTGCAAACGCCTCTGCATCTTAGATTCCTTGACATCTACTTCTTTCCTCGCCATATCACCCATTTTATCTGTAAAAAAAAGTTTAGCATATTAAATGAAATACAAACATTAACTTGATTAATTTTTTTAGATATTCTTTAATTTGTTTAATTGTTGTTATAGTCAAACCATAGTTAAAATGATACAAAATAAACAAAGATTTTTATTGTACAAACTAAAAGAAATAGATCAAATGAACAACAACAAAAAAGTTCAAATAAACAATACAATTTGAGGGAAATCTGACTTTCTTGTGATTAACCTTGGACCTATTACTTTCCAACGCTTTGGGCGAGAATCAGATATTTTTTGACGGGAAATTATATTTTTTGACGTATTTGGCTAAATAATATTTTAAACTGTTTGAATCACAAACTTATAATTGAATAAATAGTCAATGATTGTTTTGGTAAACAATCAATCAATCTATAAATTTGGCTTGTCTGTCTGTTTGCATCCTAAAATTGTCAAAACGACTGAACCGATCTGGCCAACATTTTTTGTGGGATCTCGCGTGAACCCAGGGAAGGTTTAAAATTTAGAAAATCCACGAAATTTTTTTTTGTAGAATCAGCGAAATTTTTTGTTTTTGTTTTATTAACAAGGAGAACCCTCATGCTATTTGTAAACAAGGAGAACCCCATGCTTAAAAATGAAATAAAATATAAGCGCGAAGGGCTCTAAAAGCCTATCAAATGAAAAAACGTACAAATAAAAAACTTAGTTCAGAAATCAATTTAGCAAACAGGGATAAAACAATAAAAAATGCATTTTCATTTTTGATATGTCTCCTCTGATTGCCTGATAAAAGTTTAAACATACATTATTTATTCAAGAAAAACTCTCTTTTTTGTGATATTTTTCAACGTGTTTCTTCAGGTAAATTGGTCTAGTTGCAGCAAACTCGCATTCAGGACATGGATATCTAACTCCTTCGTGTTTACTTTCAACATGTCTGTTCAAATCACTTGCCGCGGTTGCCGCATATTCACATTGCAAACAAGGATATCTAACTCCTTCGTGTTTATTTTTTACATGTTTCTTTAGAGCACTTGTTGTAGTTGCAACAAATTCACATTGCAAACATGGATATCTCACTCCTTCATGTTTATTTTCAATATGAACCTTCAGGCCACCTGCTTGAGTTGCAGTGTACTCACAATGAGGACAAGGATATCTCACTCCTTCGTGTTTACTTTCAACATGTCTCTTTAAATTCCTTGCTGAAGTTGATGCAAAATAACATAATGTGCAAGGATATCTCACTTCTTCATGTATACTTTCAAAGTGTTTTTTCAAATCAACAGTTCTAGTTGCTACATATTCACATAACGAACAAGAATATCTCACTCCGTCATGTATACTTTCAACATGCTTTTTCAAATCACTAGTTCTAGTTGCTATATATTCACAAAACGAACAAGAATACCTCACTCCATCATGTTTAATTTCAACATGTATCTTCAGAGCACTTGTTGTAGTTGCCAAAAATTCACATTGCGAACATGGATATCTCACTCCTTCATGTTTATTTTCAATATGAACCTTCAGACTACCTGCTTGAGTTGCAGTGTACTCACATTGAGAACAAGGATATCTCACGCATTCGTGTTTATTTTTAACATGTCTCTTCAGATCCCTAGCTCTATTTGCAACATGATTACATTCAGAACAAGGGTATCTGACTCCATCATGTTTGCTTTCAATATGAATCTTCAGTTCACGTGGTTGAGTTGCAACATGATCACATTTAGGGCAAGGATATCTTACTCCTTCATGTATATTTTTAACATGTTTTTTCAGAGTACCTGTTCCGGTTGCAGCATAATCACAATGATTACATTGATATCTCACACCTACGTGTTTACTTTCAAAGTGCCTTTTCAAATTTCCTGCTCTAGTAGCAATATACTCACATTGGAAACAAGGAAACTTAACTCCTTCGTGTTTACTTTCAACGTGTTTTTTCAAATCACCTGCTCTATTTGCCGCATATTCACAGAACGAACAAGAATATCTCACTCCTTCATGTTTACTTTTGACATGATCCTTCAGACCCTGTGGTGAAGTTGCAGCAAACTCACATTGAGAACAAGGATATCTCACTCCTTCGTGTTTATTTTCAATATGTGTCTTCAAAGTATCTGCTCTAGTTGCAATATACTCACATTGAGAACAAGGAAAACTTGCTTCTTCATGATTTCTTTTAAAATGTCTCTTTAGATGACTTGCTTTGGTTGCAACAAACTCACATTTTGAACATGGATACCTCACTACTTTATGTTTATATTTAATATGGGTTTCTAGATTGCCTGCTTCAGTTGCAACAAACTCACACTTGTTACAAGGGTATCCTACTTCACACGTTTTTTTTCTCTTTGTTTCAGACTGCAGAGAATCGAATACGACACCCATGTTTACTCCTGAAATAGATCAATTATTATTATATAGTGTTAATACAAATATTATTAAAGCTAAAAGGATGTCATGCACATCTGTTATTATTAAAAAATCACCTATTCCATCAAAACAAATTTATATTTCCTTGTTTTTTTTTAAACTGGTATAGTATATGTTCTCATGTTGCCTAAATCACAATCCTTATCTTCATCTTCATTAATTAGTTAAATGTGAAAATCAGGATCAAATACAGGCTTGCTGTTTTCAACATCCTGTATTCTAGTATTCAATACACCAATATCCCCCCCTCTCCCTCAATTCACCTTGGTGCTGTTTTCAACATCCTGTATTCCAGTATTCAATACACCAATATCCCCCCTCTCCCTCCCCTCACCTTGGTGCTGTTTTCAACATCCTGTATTCCAGTATTCAATACACCAATATCCCCCCCTCTCCCTCCCATCACCCTGGTGCTGTTTTCAACCACCTGTACTCCAGTATTCAATACACCAATGTCACCCCCTCTCCTTCCCCTCACCTTGGTGCTGTTTTCAATATCCTGTATTCTAGTATTCAATAAACCAATATCCCCCCTTCTCCCTCCCCTCACCTTGGTGCTGTTTTCAACATCCTGTATTCTAGTATTCAATACACCAATATCCCCCCCTCTCCCTCCCATCACCATGGTGCTGCTTTCAACATCCTGTACTCCAATATTCAATACACCAATATCACCCCCTCTCCTTCCCCTCACCTTGGTGCTGTTTTCAATATCCTGTATTCTAGTATTCAATACACCAATATCCCCCCCCTCCCTTCCATCACCCTAGTGCTGTTTTCAACATCCTGTATTTTAGTATTCAATACACCAATATCACCCCCTCTCCCTCCCCTCACCTTGGTGCTGTTTTCAACATCCTGTATTCCAGTATTCAATACACCAATATCCCCCCCTCTCCCTCCCATCACCCTGGTGCTGTTTTCAACATCCTGTATTCTAGTATTCAATACACCAATATCACCCCCTCTCCCTCCCCTCACCTTGGTGCTGTTTTCAACATCCTGTATTCCAGTGTTCAATACACCAATTTCCCCCCCTCTCCCTCCCCTCACCCTGGTTCTATGGTAACGCCTCACCATGAACGTAAATTAAAAACTTCTTTTGTTTTACTTTTAAACTTGTTGTACGATCTATATTTAACCCTGCTTAATGAAAAGCTTAAACCTTGTTTATTTTATAACTTACAATTTTATCTGAGAACTGAAGTAAGACGGATTTTTAATTAGTATATAAAGGAAGCACATTGCAATACCATCAATCTTAAACTGTAAACATGTATTATGTAAATATCATATTTACCCCGGAAAATATGAGAAAAGATATTTAATCGGAGGCTTTTTACAGACCGAATCAATATGGTCTTTTTGGACACAACCCCGACTATTTTCTCTACGATTTAAAAGTAAAAGATTTGAAAAATATTACAATAATGTACATTCTTATTTGTATTGTACTAGGCTTCTAGGGCGCTTCGCGCCCATCTTCTATTTAAATTGTGAACATGTTCTTTTTGTTTACATTTAAAAACAAGGAAGAAATTTTTTTTGCGGATTTTTGAAAAAAATTCGCGGATTTTCAAGAATTTAATTTTTTTTTACAAAATTAAAAAACCTTTAAAGCACATTTTTTTCAAATTTTTATAATTCATAAACCTTCCCTGTGGTCACGTGATGTCCTACAAAAAATTTGGGCCCGATCGGTTCAGCCGTTTTGACGTTTATTGGATACAAACAGACAAGCCAAATTTATATATAGATTTACTGTATATGTGAACGGTGTACATGTAACCGGTGTATCCTGATCTCGTCCTTTATTAAAATTATGTTAAACTATATGATTGATTGATTGTGATGGATGAAGTTGATTTTTGATGGTCTTGCTTAGAAATTATTAAACCATGTTAACTGGTTCACGCTGTAATTTATTTTCAGTTGCCACCGTGAGAGGTGGATTTCCAAGGTAAGAAATGCACACTTGTTATTTTGAAAAAAAGCTTGTTAAAAAACAAACTTAAATAGAAAAGTCGTCTTCATTGAAGATATTTAACTATATAAACCGTTAACATTATTTTTATGTATAAATCAGATTATTTGAGGAAACCATTAAATATTGGTCTACACAAGTTGAATATACGAGATACAAGAAGTGATGACATTGATCTCTTCTTCAGTTTTCTGTTAATATATACGAGTGTTCAATGCAAAGATGAAATTAAAACACAGTTGCCTTCAGAATAAAGTGGAAATTGAAAGAGAGGTAAAAATAAAGTGGTCTTCAGAATGAAGTGGAAATTAAAGACTGCTTTTTTAATTACAATGGTCTCCAGAAAAGAAGTGGTAATTGAAGACGAAATTGGAAAGATTGTTGTTTCCAGAAAAAAAGGATTACTAAAGACAACATTAAATAAATTGGTTAAGCTAATGCCTTTAAAAAATACCTCAACAAACAAAAGTTTTTATAGTTTTTATTTTAAAAAACAGAAATGCCTAAAAAAGAAGAAGAAACGCCTGAACAAAAAAGAAGTTTTAAAGTTTTTGAAAAACGTAAACGCCTAAAAAAATTTGAGGAATCGCCTCCAAAAAAGAGGAAACAACTATACAAAATTCAGTTAAAATTTTTATTTTTAAAAAAGGAATCGCCTCAAATATTCGCGGAAACGCGTAAGAAAAGAAACGCCCCAACAGAATTAAGTTTAAGCAGTATTTTTTGAAACACCTGAAGGAAACACCTCAACTGTGAATATTGGGAAATGGCTTAACGTTTATTCCAAAATTTCCTAAAATAATGCGAAAATTCAACAAGTCATTTTTGAGGTATTTCCGTGGTGAGGCCTTCCCATAGCAATTTGGGAAATCTAAAATTCCTCCTAAAATATTTTATTTCTCCAAGGCCCAGGGGCATATCCATTTTAAAAATGATACTCCCCCCCTACGCCTCATGTAAATTGTAAAAAATTGAAAGTTTAAATTCTTTTTAAGTTTACCTTTCATTTCTTTATTCTTGGTACATGTATTCTCTACAGTAAAGGATGAAAGGATTTCTTCTAGGTTGGAAACTATCACTTCTTTTATCTTAAACTGATCTTTAATGATATCTGCCATTTTATCTGAAAATAGGGGCAGTGTAAAATATAAAATTGATAGTTTAAAGAAACATTAAATGTTCAATTATCCTATCCATGCTGGGGTACTTGAAAACCAGGATACCCGAGGGGGGGGGGGTCGATTTGACCATACCTCTAAATCCCATGTTTGATGTCTAAATATGTCAAATGATACATCATTGGAAAGCTCTTGTGCTCTTCTTTTAGAATCTGCAAAAAAATAGTAAATTAGCAAATTGATTTTTTTTTTGCAAAATCCAGTTATAAAGTAAAAATGTCCAAAAAATTTTAAAATTTTAATTTTTGAAAAGCCCTTGACCATGCCATTTCTCAGGGGAGACTGGCATTTATTACATTTATATTGTATAAACTTGGAACATTAGAACAGGTGGGGGATGATGTTTCCCACACCTGGCGCCGTTCTCAAGGGGTCCACATTGGGGTCTCTTGTAGTTTTTATTTCATTATGTTCTTTTACGTGGTTCCTTTAAAGTAGGTGGAGGGAAGGATCTCTCCCTTGATGGAATAAATCTCTTCTTTGATGGAAACTATCTCTTTTTTATCTCAAACTCTCCTATATTAAATCCTTCTTTTAATATTTCTGCCATTATAGCTGGAAAATAGATTCAAGTGTAGAATTATATATAATACATACAATAATGCCAATTACAGGATTGCTTAAAACATAATGTTTTGGCAGTTGTTTAAAGGGAGTGTTCGCGAAAAATGAAAGGGGGTATAGGCTTGCGATCAAAAGCGCTTTTTTATCGCATTTAGCCTATACCCCCTTTCATTTTTCGCGAACACTCCCTTTAAAAATAAAAAAAAATATTTAAACGATATGGACTACTAATTATTTACCAAATAATGAAAATAAAAATTCATCCAAAATATCTCTCCGTAAATACATTTTTTTTAATTCCATTTTTAAATATTAATCCGAAGACACACAAGCTTCAAGTAGTTGCAGTATACTCACATTCTAAACAAGGATATTTCACTCCTTAATGTCTTACGTCTTTCTGCACTGGTGGCAACACTCACATCGAGGGCAAGGACATCTCACACCTTGCTGTTTACTTTCAACGTGTCTTTTCAGATCACCTGATGTAGTTGCAATATACTCGCACGTTTTAGTTCAACATGAATTTTCAGAGCACTTGATTTTGTTGCAGCATACCCACATATAGTACAAGGATTTCTAACATCTTAGTGTTTACTTTTAACATGTCTGCTCAAAGCACTCGCTTGAGTTGCAATATACTTACATTGAGAACAAGGATATATCACTCCTTCGTGTTTATTTTCAACATGGACTTTCAAATGACTTGCTTGAGTGCCAATGTACTCACACTAAGAACAAGGATGTCTCACTCCTACATGCTTGTTTTCAAAATGTTTCCTTAGATCTCCCTTCTGAGTTGCAGCATAATTAAATTCAGAACAAGGATAACTAACTCCTTTATGTTTACTTCCAACGTGTCTCTTTAGGTCACTTAATGTACAGTTGCGGCATGAACGCATTGAAAACATGGATATCTTATTCCTTTGAGTATACTTCAAAATGTCTCTTCAAATTAGCTTCTCTAGAGCAACATACTCACATGTGGAGCAAGGATACCTCACTCCTTTGTGCTTAATTTCTACAGGACTCTTCAGGTTACCTAATGTGGATGCAACATACTCACATGTGGAGCAAGGATACCTCACTCCTTTGTGCTTAATTTCTACAGGACTCTTCAGGTTACCTAATGTGGATGCAGCAAACTCACACAGAGAAAAAAAAATATCCCAACCCTTCGTGTTTATTTTTGACATGCTTCTTTAGAACCTTGCCGTATTTGCAGCAAACTCACATTGTGAAAAAGGATATCTAACCCCTTTGTGCTTATTTTCAACATGTCTCTTCAGATTCCTTGTTTTTCGTTGCAAAATTTTTGCCTTGAGAACACAGTAACCTGTCTTGAATCTTCCTGGTTCTCTTTGGTTCAGATTGCAGAGGACCCAATTCGTAATCCTGGGTTTCTTCTGAATAGTTAAAACAAACATTAATTTTAAATATTTCATCAAGTATGTTTGTGCTAAACTTACATATATATATAACATATAAGATATATTTACAATCTATCCTTGCTATTGTAAACAATGATGAATTCATTATAAACACTAATTTTTTTTGCAACTCTAGTGAAATCAAGTAACAAATCCCAAATCTTTAAATAATTCTTTAGTTCAACAAACCTTTAGTTAACTTTACCTAACATAATGGATTTTTAAATCTATTTTTACCCTCCCCTACTTCAGATAATATTTAAAGCGCTCTCACTTAATCTACATTCGATTTTTTTTTTAATCTAATTTTTTTCTTAAAAATCGTAAATTTTTATTTTATCAAAAATCTAGTTTCAAAATGTGGAAATTACACGATTTGTTCTTATTAAAAGTTCAAAAGTTTAACAAGTTATCAGACACCTTACAATCCCCTTCCTACAAAACACAATGCGATTCTATTTTTTAAGAAAATGTAAATTTATCGAGATTACCTTGAATTTCTGTATTTTCCAGCTTTATTTCATGTTCAGGAATATCAACAAAACATGTATCTTCTACGGTAGAGGTTATTTCATATTCCTTGACATCTATTTCTTTCTTTATAATCTCTACCAACGTGTATCTATGTATTTTGTCCCCCCCCCCTTAATATGAGAAAAAGAAAAAACCTGGGAACTATCATTATTCATTAAAAATTGTATATTACGAAATTATCATATTTCTCCCCCCCCCCTTTAAAACTCACAAGTTGAAATACATTCATAACATGTTCAATTAACAAAGAAATAGTTCTTATTAATATATCAAGTTTAATTGATTAATTATTAATATAACAATGCAGACTATAATCAATTACAGGAAAGTTTATATTGTGGAAAACTGAAGAAAAAAAAATTTAGTCAATAATTGCAGAGCCGTAACTGAGGGGGGGGGGGGCGCACATCCCTTCCCTGTTTTCCTACAGGGAGAAATCGAAAATAGCCAGACAATGTTCAGAAATTAAGGGTCACTTAAAATTACAACGCGATGTCCCATGAAACAAATCATGATCTGAAAAGGAAACTTTTAAAAAAATTTTGAAACAAAGGAAGAGGTTAATTAGATACACTGGCAAGTTAATCCTGCATTCGACAATTGTTTCACAATATCTGCCATATTTCATATTGGAAATCTTAGACAAGAATTTTTTTACTTTTTTTACATATTATATGTATTAATGTCAGTATTAGTTTCCAGATATTATTGTTCATTTAAATGCTGTGTTTAAAACGGTTCAATGATATATAATTTTAAGCAATATGTAAGAGATTTGCTTTGACTTGTAATTTTTTGTATCATTTCACAAATTGGGTCTGTCCTAGTGAACGATTGGACCCCCCCCAGCCCCCTCCTATCAATTTTGTACATGACCAAATTAGTATATATTTAGCATTATTTAGGGTTAGGTTAGGTTAAGACACTTTCTGGGCCGAGCGCTTCGGCTAGGATGGGCTATGGGGGCCGAGCACTGCGGCTAGGATGGGCTAGGGGGCCGAGCGCTACGTGGCCACGGGTTAGGTTAAAAGTTGAGACACTTTCTGTAAGATCCATGTACAAAATTGATAGGAGGGGGGGGGGGTCCGAAAATCGTTCTCTAGGAATATACCCACAAATTTAAGGTAAAATTGATGGTTTTTCAGACTGAAAAATAAAAATTTTTCAGTTCAGATGATCTGGAAAAACTGGTAATGTTACATCGTCTATACGCAACATCCCCCCTACTGAACTTCTGAGTGACCTACTAATTTTCCGACCTACTGCAATATTGGGCCTACGCCAGCTGTTTATTTTTGTATTACAGGGTGTCCCACGAAACATGACAGTTGGTGAATAGTTTATGAATGTCATTTTTCCATAATTTGTTGAGTTGTTTGGTACCGGAAAGATCAATAAAAATATTATATGGGAGTCATGTTATATTAATTTGATTTCAAAGTTATAAAAGATAATGAAGTAATAGGTTGTTTTAACTAAAAATAACGATTTTTTAAATGTCATGTTTCGTGGGACACCCTGTATCTGAGGCTCAGGTTAGCTGTTAAGACAATTTCTGGGCCGACCGCTGCGGCTAGGACAGGCTTGGAGACCGAGCGCCGCGGCTAGGACAGGCTAGCAGCTGTAAAACCATGGTGCTAGTAGGTCGGATGTGTAATATAGCGGATTTGGCGTAGGTCATAAGTGGAGTATAGCGGATTTGCGTAGGTCGAAAAATACACCAACGGAAAAAATGCTAGGAACAGCTGACTTTTGTTTGTAGTTATGTAAGACGACATTCATAATTCTCTTTAATGAAATAGCAATATTTTTTTTAAAGAGAAAAATATCTAAATTTTACACTAAAAAAGAAAAGAAAATATGTCTAAGCCTATTTTTGGAGACAAAATTATCACTAGGACACTTTCTAAGTCCAAATTAGAAGTCACAATAATTTCTAAGTCACATTTTTCTTGTTCAATTTTGTTTAAGAGTTTAATTTGTTCAAGACAGATTCTAATTGTCACATCTCTAAGTCACGATGTTTGTTGCTTATACAGTCAATAAGAATGATAAAGTAAGCATTCATGAAAGTTTTTTTCTGTTAAGAGTAAGATTTAAATTTAACCCTTAATATATTTTTTTTAGTAGTAGCCTTAGAAAAGTGTTAAGAAGTTTGGCAATTTAGATATCCTGAGTCATTTGGTCCCGAAAAGTATATGGAGGGGGGGGAGGGGGGGTAATATTTAGATATCCTGAGTCATTTGGTCCCGAAAAGTATATGGAAGGGGGGGGGGGTAATGCATCTTCTTCCTCTTTTGCCAAAACTTGCCCTTTCTAGGGTTTTTCTTGAAAGCATCAAAAATTATTTTGAGGAAATATTTGTGGTGTTAAATCCATCCGAAAAGGACAGGGTAAAGCAATGCTTCCTAATTCTAGTTTTTAATTATTAATAAGTCATTATTTGACTGGAAAGTTAATATTTTCCAAAAAAAGAGTGACTAAGGCATCAAATTTAATTGCTTGTTGCTTTAGATGCTTTCAAATTTCACTTTTG